ATTTTACTCTGGGTTCAGCATCGTGGTTCTGGTTGATGGTGTGGTTATTACAGAGGGTCTTGACCGGGAATAGTTGTATTTGTGAGTATTGTAGAATTTAATAAAGCCTGTTTCGCGTTGGAGTTTAGTTATTTTTGCTTTTGGCTGACGAACAGGACGATGTTAACTACCCCTTAAACCCCCTCCCACTTTACTTAAGAGATTACCCCTTCTCATGGTTGGGCATTACCCAATAAAGGGATGGAGAAAGAAGCGTCGGACATTCACCTCAATGACTTAGAGATACTTTCTGACCATGTCGATGACAAGCTATGGTTTTGAAAATTAGGCCACTCATAAAGAGAAGCGCGAGTTCTTCGAGACGTTCTGAGTATTATGAATAGTTTGGATTTATGTGAGAGCCGGCGAATGGGTCTTAAAACCACATGGTATTGAATAAATGTTTTTCAGAAACGGAACAGCGGCTGTCTGAAGCAAATAATATTACAGAGCTTGACTTTGCGATTAAGATCAAGAAAACGAACATTCTACACTTCAATAATACACAGCTTAACATAACTCACGCCTCGAAGATTGCACAAGACCGGTAGATGCAGCCTGAAATTGTCTATATGTCTGTCTACCCTTTATTTGATAGGGTGCCCTTGATTATTTGACTGATATGCATTCTCTTGGGCAAAGATATGCAGAGAATATACTCTTGTGTGTCTTATTAAAATCAATCAAGATATACAAGCTATATGGAAATGACAAAATATGAGTGATATTGTAAAGAAAGAGAATCATTGAATGCAGCACTGTCCTGCAATAAGAAGAGATAAAATAGCTGAACGGTGGCCTAGAAATTTCAAGCATAGGTGCTAGAGTTAGCATCACTGCTTATATAACAGTTACGTTTACTACCGGGCACTGACCTGTCTGAGTATAGTGTGAGACAATAAAGGCATCATAAGAGCATTTTACCCAGATATCATGCACTGCTGTGATCGATATTCTTCATAGTGTCCATGCCATTTGAGTGCCTTGCTTTGCATCACACAAGGCTGTCTTTTAATTGAGGTAACTGTTTCAGCAGTGTTTTGAAAGTGCAACCCCTGAAACAGTTGGAAAGGCTATACGGATCTGCAAAGAGACAGCGATTCGAACAGCATTTACCCTATTCACTTAGTTTTAACTTGACACGAAGCATTATTGCATTTCTTGTCTGATCATCTAAGGTGATTGGTGCCTTGTAGCACTGGGAGGGTGAAGCTTAAAGGTTTTGGTTTAGGGGTAAATGTGACTGTTGAACATAACTTGGTGATAACGGAATGAACATTAGTTTCTTAGTATTTATTAGCAAGGTCGAAATGATAAAACTGCTGATTTGCAGCCTGGAGTCTCAAGGTTACAACCTTTATTTTGTTTGTTTCTATAATACTGTCTGATTAGGATCTGCAAAAATATATCAGTAGTCCGTGCAATAGCGCGATCAGTAATGCTGTAAGGATTATAATGATGGACAATTACAGGACACCGGATGGATCACAGATAGTTATAGCAAAAATAGCGCCAAATTAAAGAGCAGGAAAAAGCAAAGAGAAACAGATAATTTAACGATTTCGAACGGCAAGGCTACTGCGCATCGAGCTGGATAACTGCTCTGATTACTGCCTCTGCATCTTTAAGGCCTTTAAGAAATCACACTGAATCCGTCATGAGGGAACGCCATGGAATTCTTTGCGGTAAAGCGTCAACATACTGGGCACTGCTATCAGACATTATTTGATCAACAACGTTGAATGTGTATAATTCAGTCTGAATGCAAGATTCGATGACCGTCTTTGGACGAGAAAGTCGCATGAAAGAATGGAACGAAAGATTATTGCCTGAATATAGGTGTAAAGCAGCAATGTGCAGGAAAAGTAATAAAAGCTTTAACTGCATATTGTGATAACCTCAAGTTGCACAGTCTTTACATGGTAAGAATTGTTCTTTGTCCTGTAAGTCAAACACTTCTTATGCTGTTACTTGGTGTAATAGACGTTAACTGTTAAAAGATATTTTACTAATATGGGAACGGAAATGTCTTCAGGGTGCAAATATTTTGAAGCCAATTCTGCAAGTAATCAATTTTTGGTATTTTGTGAAGATGCATTCAGCGGTTATATTGGCTTTAATCACCGCTACCTATGATGAAATTTCGCAGTGCTTTCTTTTACAGCTTCTTATCGTGGTCAGACAACAGAAGTTCTCAAAAACCACATACCGCAGTGTATGTTTCGAGCAACGCAGTGGAGATGAATAGGTATATAATAAGCAGTAGGGACGATGGAGATGATAAATGATTTTCGGCTACTGGAACGACTTTGTTCAACTACTGAATCGACGCTGTATTAATGAAGGCTTGGACGAACTTTGATAGCGAATAGATGCTCCATCCACCAGGACGCCGGTTACCAAATCTAGATTATGCTAACGACATCGCTTTCATTACTAACAACATTGAAAGGAGTTTCAGAAGGCACAGACAGCCATAGAAATAGCTAGCGTCAAGTTCCAGCTGATACTGAAACTACTGAAATGCAGAGTCCTTGTATCCGGACAGCATATGAACATAATCAACGTTTACAAGGAAGACGTTCAATATATCACTGAATTGTGCTCTCTTGGATCGTTGATCACCAGGGATGGAAGCCGTGAAGCTGATGATAAATAGACTCAGAAAGGCTCGAACTGCCTATAACATGCTGCAGCAAAATCTGTGGGAAACTGCTGTCAGTACGTCAGTGAAATTGCATGTTTATCTGGCAACAATTCGGCCAGTACTCATGTATGCCGCATAAATATGGACAATTACCAACAAAGAATTCAGTAAGCCAATCCCGCTAGACTTGTTTAATCGTTGTTGTTGGCATGGAAGACAGCTGCAGACTGATTAATGAGATCACATGCCGAATTTTTCGAGGTTGCTACTAAAAGCACAAATGGAATATATCAAACAGGGCGTAGCATATACTTTTCTAGTGACAGCAGAAAAACTACAACTTTTACTCTAGCCATGAACGAAAAGCGGCCTATCAGCATCATGGTTTGTAGTATGCTGAACCTCTGCTGGAAATGACTGAGAGGCAGGTGAAAAAGTTCATAGTTTGGTAGTGTTAGGGACTAACGATTATAACGGAGCTAGGCCGCACGTATGGACAAGCTGCAAACCAAGCCTGGTACAAGGATCGACTTGCAATCATATCTGGCATTGCGCAAGACAGGATGATATGGCAATTGATGACAAAATGTGCAGGATATCGTACACATTTGCAGTATTTCGTACGTCAGATCAAACGAGTACCACTTTATCGAAGAAACTTGAAAACTGCTATAGTATCTACTAGCTGTAGACATTGTGTGCATACATTATATATCTTGGGTGGTACCATTAGTCATTGCAGGGACCGTGCGGTCCATTGTAGGACCGTCATAAATAACCACCGCCTTGTTTTGTCATGGTAGTGCCATCAGTGGTTTGAAGCGTTCTTTTTCTTTCCTGTGTGAATATTTTATAATTATTAAATTTGCATCTTGAAATTAATAAGC